ACACACACACACACACACACACACACACACACACACACACACACACACACAGCCCCTCCTCTCCGACACTTCGTCTTTGCTGTCAGTTTCTCTGATCCGTCTCAAAGTGCTAAATGAAGTGAAACAGGTCTGAGGATAACAAATGGAGAGGAACATAGGAGGAGACAGACAAACAGTGGACAAATGAGCTCCTGTCTCTCATTTACCAAAGCTATCAGTGACCTTCAACCGTTTTTAACACTTTCACGCCTGAATCATGTTTTAAATTGTTCCTTCATATCTGTTTTGAAGGAACTGTAGACTGACACAACACCGACAGTGCGACACTGACTGAAAACAAAGCGCCACAGTAAAACTCTAGATATTCTACTGACTGAACCATCAGGAGGAGGAGGAGATTCGTTGACAGGTCGTCTGTCTTCAAGATGGATAGTTCACATTTTTTTGACAAATGGCAGGAAGCTCAGGCAGAATTAAACAATAGAAGAAGAAAAAGAAGCAGAAGCCTCACTGGTGTCTCCAGAAATGCAGTTGCCCAGGTTTACAGTCTTCACCTCCAAAGATATAACGTATATCTAATAATACCATAATGATATTAGAGTGGCAAGACAAATGAATGAAAGGAACCAGTTCAAACAGAAAGATTGTTTTTTGTTCCATGTACTTTATTCAAAAAGAATACAAACTCAGAATTGACAACATGACATATATAAGTCATAGGTTTTTAGTGCAGGCACATATTTAAATTGATTCAGACCTTCGTCCAAACTCTCTCTTATAGGAATCAAGGAATTTTTGTCTTTTCCTTTTTCAAACCTCAAGATAATTCTACTTCTGGTCTCATTTCAACAGTAGTCTTGATGAAACGCACGTTATCTGAACATTAAAGAGTAAAGTATTTATTTACTGGAGTTCATGTCTGAATGTGGCTTAATTGTTCCCTAACAAACAACCCTTATCAGCAGCCTGTAGCCTGAGGGGAAGGAGCAGACAGACGAATAAGAGAGAGGGAGATGGATGAAGAGGATGAGAGGAGAATGAGGTTATCAGCTCTCCAGAGACTGTAAAGATTCATAGATGCGTTCTGTGTCAATAATGTAAGGAGAGAGAGCGAGAGAGAGAAACAGAAAACGAAGACGAAAAACCAAGTTAGGCAGAAATGGAGAGAGTGAAAGCAAGAGCAGTAAAGAGGAAGAGTGAGAGCTGGATGCAGTGAAATGTAGAAAATGCCACACTGAAGCCACGAGGCTCAGGCCAGATGCTGCTGCTGCTGTTGTTCTCTTCGACCCGAACGCACGCTCTCATTTATTCCAGCACAATTCAATTCCTGCAGCTTTATTGACATGATACGACCACTCCTGCTGTACATTACCAAGAGTGTCGGAACAAAGCACAACATCAATACGTCTCAACTCGAGCCACACAGATAAAAAAAAGAGCCACAGCGGTTTATGGCTAATTGATGCTTTAACAACATCACACATTGATTGGGTGTTGACCTTTAAAATATGACTGGTGCAAACTAATAAAATACGTCCGTGTGACGAAAACCTTGCAGCTCCAAAATGTCAATGCTTTTGAAAGTAGGCCACCGTATTTTTAGCTTTTAGCTTCGACGTGCATATTTGAGTCTATCCAATGTCCTCTAAAAGGTTTTCATCAGCCCAGGAGTCGAGGGACTGTCTCATCCTGTAAAAGACAACTGGAGCTGTCCAACAGCAGAGAGACACCGTGCGACAGGACATTTACAAGTGCACATTAGTTATGTTTCTTTTCAAAAGTCCTGCAGACTTGTACACGATTTAGAGGGAATCAATAAAATAAAATGCAAATGAATGTGTTTCCATTCGGTACCATTATGCAAATCCTGGAGTTGGTATTTCAAAATAAACCATCTGTCAGGTCAGGTTTTATGAGCGTTCAACGAGTCGAGAAGAAGTTCCACTTGGTTGTCAAAGCAACACAACACATGAAAGTCAAAACAGTGAAGTGGAAAACTGCAAACCATTCTGCTGAACGATGCTAAAACTCATATAAGTGATGTTTTCATGGGTTTGTATCTGTGAGTGACACCTCGCCTCACACATCACAGTCACTTCAGGGGCTGATGATGTTAAAACACGGATCACTGCACCTTTAAGTATTGATAAATACTGAATTCATATTGATTCAAATGAAGACGTTCCAGCAGCAGAGTCGAGTATCATCACACAAACTGATCAAAATGAGTTCTTTCACTCTGAATCTGCAAATGTGAATTTACGCCACAAACACTGTACGTCCTCTGAAACATCTAAGCACTCACTTACATTTACAAGAACAAGTACGAGAACATCTTCGCAGCCTCTCTACGGGAATCACTATCACTTCATCTCACTGGAAAAACGAAAGAAGTGATTTGGCAGCAGAAGAAGTGGAGGAACATCTGAACAGCTTCCATCTGAGTGTCAAATCACTGACTTTCAATAAACACTGTCTGCAAGAAAATTGTTTTTCTGCTTCAGTTTCCAACTTCTGCCGTTTATTATTTCAAAGAGTAAACACACACACACACACACACACACACACACACACACACACACACACACAGCAAACATCATACACGTGTCAGTAACCTGGCAGCTGTTTCTGAAATGTGATTGCAATATCAGGTGGTAAATAGGGAGCACTAGTGGACACCGCTCATCAACACACCATGTTGTGCTGAGTTCCCCCGCCTCGCTGTCCTGTATTTATTTGTGTCCTGTTGTTATAGAAACCAGATGTTGACAGAAGGTGTGTTTGCAGTTCTTTGCTCCGTTGGTCCTCAAATCCTCTAATCGATGTATATTCTCATAATCTCCAAAAATTGTTACACACATTTTGCTGTATATGAAATACATGCCTGCATGGTCCGATGATCTGTTTCTGTGCTGAATGACTGAGCTCAGGTCAAAGCACACACCTTTGGTCCAAAGTGGAAAAAAGGTCAAATGCACTCAGCAGATCAATAGAGCTGCGGTTATGAAACCCTCCGACTCTTTATCTTGCTAACTAGCTAGCATGCATGGGGTTTACTTCAGCTCCTCTAAAAACACCTGCAGCTGGAAGCAATGTCACGATTTTTATTTTTCCTTAAACTCAGATTTATTTCTCCTGAGAAACATTTCTCCTGAAAACTCTGGTCATGCAAGAGCACGTGCAGGGTGCACGCAGTCAGACAGTCTACTTAGTGACAGACCAGTACCACGACCAATCCTTTGATTCAGTCCAAATCATTTAATTCATTATGGCTGAATCCATTGCTTTCTCCCTCATGAGCACACTAACGTAATGACTACACCCAATCACACTTAATGTTTAGAGTGGAAGCAGGACACCTCTGTAGACTTGTTACCACATGTGCTAATCAGACGTGTTTATAAAAAGACACTTCAGGTTGCCGAGCTAACGAGCGCTACGTGGCAGCCGGCTGATGTAGACGAACAGAAAATCACTTCTCGGGCCAACACAGAAATGAGTCAAGTCTAATTTGCTCTGTTGGTTTTTGTCTTCACTTCACAGTAATTGAGCTGATTGTTTGTCTGTCTGTGTCTTTGTCTGTGTGTCCAATAGGAGGGCGACTCTCTTGGGGCGATGGAAAAGGTTTGTCGTCAGCTGACCTATCATCTCAGCCCCCACTCACAGTGGAGGAGACAGGGCCTGCTCAAGAGGAAACCTCAGGCCTGGTGAGTGAGTGTGTGTGTGTGTGTGTGTGTGTGTGTGTGTGTGTGTGTGTGTGTGTGCGTGCGTGCGGTACAGTATGTGTCCTCAGTGTGTCATCATCTGCTGCCACGTTTGGATGCCATGGAAAAATCCACCGATATCACGCTCTCTTAATTCTCTTGATCTCACTAATTGTTGGAGATGAAACCACCTCAGTCTGTGTCTCCTTCACTGTCTCTCTGGAATTAATCATTTGAATGAAGCAATAATATAATAATCATCTTTTATCATAATGATAATAATCTTTATTTTTAGGGCATTTTTCAAAACATATGTTGCAAAGGCAGCAAGTTAAAAACAAAGAGGTCATTAAAACATCTGGTTTGGAAGAAAGCAGGTAAAATCAATTAGTGTATAAATACCAGTGTCGTGTAAAATGCTCAATAAAATACAGTAAGTTAAAATAAAGGTAAAAGGATGAAAGTATGTTTTTAAGAAGAGACTGAAAAGATTTAAGTTGTATCTGTAGTATTGATTTCACTGTGATGTTGCTTTAGCAAGTTTTACCTGTGAGCTGTGTTCACTTAGCGCTCTCTCCACTCTTCTTCTTTGCCCCTGAATAATGTAGATTCGCACTGAGGATCTGCAGCCAAATGAAAGTGGAAGATTTGTAAAACACTGCCTTTGACTTACAGTGCTGATGAAACAGTATTTCAAGAGTAACTCGAAAAAAAAATCTTACAGTCGTTAATGTTGCATCCACTTGTTACTCCAGACATTTTCAAACACCACCAGCTTTTCTTTGAGAATTTTCAAAACCAAATATGCGACGCAACGGGAGATCCTTCGCTCAGACACGTTCACACACAACACGGAGCGTTATCATATCACGTGTTAGAAATGTCATCAACACGCCCAATTATTTACTCAATGGATGCAGTTGTTGTCTATGATACATATAAATAATAAAAAATATATCAGAAAACAGTGAAAATGTCTTAATTGTAATTTCCTAAAATTAAAAAAAAAACTACAAATTGTGGCCAGATTTGAGAAGCTAGATGCTTTACATCTAATCAGCATACTACTACTAATAATAATAATATAATACATTTGATAGACTTTTCTTAAAAATGGTTCTAAAAAGTATAAAACATGAATAAAATCCAATTAGAATTTGAAAAAAAACAATTAAAAAAGATAAATTAAAATTCGCTAGTAGAATAGAATTCACTGGGTGTCTTAATGATAAATAAAATAGGCTCCGCAAATAAAACAAACCTCACTTATAACAATATCATTAATAAAGTTATTATCAAATATTGTGTCCGTAGTGTTTACATTGAATTTCATTCTAATATATTAAGATATTTTTTTTATATACTCAGAAGTGGTTTTGGCTGTAAACCGGATCCCTGTGTGATGCTGCACATCTTAGCTCCTGCTTAGAAACACCCAGACCTGCTAGAAATGACATCCTGGTGGGAGCAGATGGTAGAAAAGTGACGATGAAGCAGGAGACATTTGGAGAGAGGATTTCCCACTGCGGAGTGAATGGAGGATCAGTTGTTATGAACACCAGGTGTCAACTTCCCTGCAAAACAGTTTGCCCACAAATACACAAGAGCAGAGAGGGAAACATAACAATTCAGTGTGGAGCATAAGATCTAACCCCTGCTGAGTGTGTGTGTGTGTGTGTGTGTGTGTGTGTGTGTGTGTGTGTGAGTGTGTGTGTGTGTGTGTGAGAGAGAACTTTAACAGTCAGCAATGACTGGTAGCTTTTGTAATTTTATAAAGTGAACTTCAACAAATGCTGTTACATCAGGGTTTCACCGATAATGGAATTAAATGAAAGCTGCGGTTGAAAATGAAAATGAGTTTGGTAATTATCTAAAGTAATTCTGGACCGGTGGATGTGGTTTAATCAATGCAGCGCTGCAGTCAGCACTTCAGGCTGTCATGAACTCCAGCTAAGGGTCATTAACCAGAGGATAGACAGGCCCCACTTACTCTGAGTCTCAGGGCAAAATACGCGACTGGGTCGTCTCTTTGCATAGAACGCACCCGATTAACACACATCATATAAAAAGACACACACACACGCCCAAATACACGTCGTCCTGCTGACTACGTCACCCCGTCCTGAAGTCGACTGAAAACAAAATGATTCCTGCCGATCGTGGTCCAGGTCTGACCACCTCTCACCCTCGTTTAACACTTTCTATCATATCACTCTTCTTTTTCTGTGGAGCGGCGCTCAGATGATCTCTTGCGAGCTCACACCCAGAAATATCTCCTTTAACATCTTCAGTGTGCCTCAAAAACAGAACAAGCAGACGTGTTGAGGATGACTGAAGCTCAGGATAACCTGCGGATTGTCCACCTTTCCAGTGTTTTTCAAATTTCAAGACGTTTTCATGTAACATCGATTTAGGTGACGGATAGAATTTGCGTTCCAAGTAGAGGTAGGCTGTCCCAATACCTGATGGGACGGAGGGGAAGGGCTTTACAACTGAGATTTTTCTGACCCTCGTGTCAAACTTACCCTGAATGCCTTGCAAATCACGGGCAAGCTGGGAGAGAGACCCACAAATGTAGTATTTTCTCCATTAATAAGGATTTAAAAGTTATGATGATGATTGTAATATCATCGTTTTCTTCATTACAACCCTAAAAAAAAAAAAAAGATTGCGAGCGCGCTAGCATTAGCATTGTCCTGGGGACAATTTGTTGCTGTCGTGAACGCATCTGAGCAGAGAAATTCCTGCTGCACGTGCAAAAGGCAAACTGCAGAGAAAGTCTCTACCTCTTGTCTCAAAACGGCTTTATTTAACATCCCCACCCTCTCCCCCCAGAAGATGTCAGGCGATCGGATGGAGATGGAACAACAGATAAGCCGACAGTAACTCCCAGTAGCAGGAGGAAGCTGTCAGACAAGTCAGCGTCTTCCTAACTCACAGTTTGATGCTTGGCACAGGCAGGAAACATCACCTGCTTCTTGTCTTATACATCAACTGACCTCAAACTGAAGACACTAACACGTCCTTGGGATCGAATGTTTAGACGTAGATCTTATTTTATATTATTTACTCGATGTTACGCTGAGCTGCCGGCATCATGACTCAGACAGCCTCATCTGTTTGAGCAAGAATAAAGATGAACAGGAGGAGAGACATGAACAAATACTTAGTTACTCTAATCCGTCAGGTCTAGATCTTCTCTTTACCAGTGGTCGGATGGTTGCGAAAGCAGAGCAAGTAGAAAAGGTCGGTGATTCTCCATGGGAAATATTTTTCTCTTTTGCAGAACAAATAGCACTTGAGACTAATTGGTCTCTTTTCGAAAAGCACAAAGCTCCCGGTTCCCCTTTGGACTCCCAGGTTCAGGTCTTACATCACTGATCAGATCCAGCTGGGCCTGGATCACATTTGTTTTTCGTCGGAGTGATGAAAATTCAAATTCAACACTTCTCATTCGTGCGAGCGGACGTTGCTGCCGTGTAGGATGATAAAATGTAAATGGAGCGGCTGTCGGTTTGTTGTTGTCTATTCAACAAGAGTATAGTTGTGACAGAGAGCGGTGAAAACAGCAGAGATTAACAAGGCTCACTGTTGCCTGTCTGGCTGCTGAACAACAGCCTCTTTCAGTGAGTTCAACAAGTCGTCTCAGTGGTTTGATGCAGCTTCACGGCCGAAACGTCCGGAGCAGCCAGCGCACTGCTCTCTGCTTTACAGCTGAGGTGAGGGACCCCTGCAGAGAAACCTGAGAGGGAAGCAACGTGACTGCTTCCATTGTCAGAGCAGGTTTTACTTTTTAACAACTTGAAGACAACACGAGACATTTGCTTTATTTGCCTGTTGACTTGTTTGACTGAAGGCGGAGACAGAGAAGCAGATGGAAGCTGGAAAACCCAGCTTCAAGGAAGAAAACCTTTTTAGACAATCAAAACACTGTCTCTGCATCAATCTGTCTCTCTGTCTGTCCGTTCTTCTGTCTTTCTGTCTGTTTGTCCGTTTGTCTTACTGTCTGTCCTTCTGTCTGTTCATCTATCTATCTCTCTGTCTGTCTCTCTGTCTGTCTCTCTATCTCCCTTTTTGATTTTTTCCTTGCAACTTGTTTAGTTTTCATTATATTGGAAGGTTTTGCTGATGTGTACTTGACCACAGCATTTTTCCGTCTAAATTCATCACACACACACACACACACACACACACACACACACACACACACACACACACACTCACAGATTTACATCTTATTCCTTCTCTGCTTGTCTGCCAGCCTGTTGTCACGTCTGCTGCCTGGCCGTCGCTGCATCGCTGACATTTCATTGGCTGTCTCCCACCTGTGCTCTGGCAGCACAAGCAGCCGGCAGGATGTTTGCTCCTTGTGTTCTGTAGGAGAGGGGAGGTTCTCAAGTTACTTTTCAGCAATTTAATATTTAAAACATGCATGATTTGATAAAAACACCTTGTCAGACTCAAGCAGACATTTTTCACTGTTGTTGCTGATCAGCTGTTGAAGAAATCTCTGAGCGTGGAGGCAGTTTGTTATTGTCGGTTGGTTAGATGGTTGGGTGTGTGTGTGTGTGTGTGTGTGTGTGAGCTGCCCAACATACAAACAAATATAGCAATGCTGTTGTCCATCCAGTCCATTTCTATCCACACAGTAAGTCGACGTGTGTTATTGTGTATAGAACAGAGGTTGTCCTCATTCTGGTGAAGTGCTCTTCCCATTATTCTGACACTGTTTTCAGTTGCTCTTATTTGCCCACGTTTGTCTCCGAGATGACAAACTGAGTCGAGTCAATCTTCAAATATTAATGCAGGCGATCATTTTTCAATATTAATCCCAGCACTTCAGAAGCAATTACACTCATTTTCTTTCTCCATTTTCTCATTTCAGCCCAGATCTTTTTTTTTTCTCTCTCTCTCTCTCTTCTCTTTCCTTGACTCTTCCTCTGAATCATCCTGAATCATCTCTGCCCTCCCAAATTGTTCACTTCTGCCTTCCCTTGCTGAAC